TTGTGTTGGCAAATTATGTCACACAAATCTCTTGGTATGCTTAAGTTCAGACTCATGATTCAAAGGCTCATTTTATTCCTTTCAAATGTGTTTCAATCATTCTTGATATGGAAATATGTTATATCCATTGCTCAAACATTTAATATGTCTTGAATTTTTAAGGTGCATAAATTAAATGAAAAATAAATTAAAATCAAGGACTTTAGCTCTTGTTGGTCTCGTTGTAACTTGAATGCTAGATTTATGATCTTTACTCCTAATTCATTTTTCATTCATATATATTTGATTTTTATTTGGCAAAACCCTATTAATTTATGCTTATATTCACTTGGACGAGTCGAAAGCCAAAGAATTCCTTTAATGATAAATAAATTAACGATATTGACTAAAGCTTGTCAATGGATTAATTATCTCAATATCATGCATCTCTTGATTGTAATAGGAAGATAGTGAACTTTAACATGCCGGATGAATTAGAATTCTAATTTCGGGAGGACGAAGTTCGACTTCATATAATTTTATATCAATACTTAGGGTTAGGCGGATGTTGCATAAGGGATGTTGTAGTTACTTAACTTTTATGAGAGATGTAAGCTCTCCGAAGCTAAAGATACAAGATGTGCCAATTGTGAATTTATAGATGTGTTTCTAGAGGAATTGCTAGAGTTACTTCTAGATAGGGAATGGAGTTTTGCATAGATGTTATGCTTGACACCGAGTTAATATTAATGCCACCTTATAGGATAACACCGAGTTGAGCTTAAGGAGCAATTGCAAGATTTGCTTGACAAAGAGTTCATTAGGCCCATCATGTCACTTATGATAAATAAAACCTAAAAGAAATAAAATTAGAGAAATAAAAATAACCCAAAATTTGAGTTATGACGAGTTGTTCCTTTTTTACAATACGACAATGCAAATGCTAATTGAAGAGTAAACTTTAGATTGGATTTGCTTAGTGGGCTTGTAAAGAACAAGTAAATTGAGTGGAAAAAAATGATCTCATTATCTTAGGTGACCTTTCTTGAAAGTTAATTGTGACAACTTTGTTATAGCTTATTTGAAAAAATAAAATGCGATGGTCTTATTATCTAGGCGAGACTTTGATAGAGTCTGTAAATATATCGGGAAATGATATTGAGTTGGTCTTGATTTCACCAAAAAGGAAATGGTCTTCAACGACGGTTAAGTTATAATTTGAATGCACAAACAATATTACTAAGTATGAAGCATGTTTACATGGTCTAGAAGAAGACTTAGAGATGAAGATAAGCAAACTTGGTGCATATGACAACTCATTATTCATAATCGACTAAGTGAAAAGAAGTGTGGTAGATAAAAGATGAAAAGCTAAAACCATACCAAGAATGCCCAACAAAAATATCTAGTTAATTCAAAAAAATCGAGTTCACCCACCTAGATAGAGAGAAGAACCATTTCATCGATGCACCAACGAACCTTTGCTTCCATGATCGAAATCGAATATGGTGTAAAGATTTAACCTATATACATCAATACTAGAAATACCCTAGCATATTGTTATGGCTCTGATTGAAGAGGAATTAGATAGGAAACCATGATATCATGACATCAAGCGAGTTCATCAAAAGCGATGAATATCCATCCGATACAACCAAGAATGATAGAAAGATGCTTAGAAGGTTGGCTATGGATTTTTATCGTAATGGTGAGATTTTATACAAAAGTTGTTTTAATGGCTCTTTATTAAGATCTCTAGATGCAGTCGAGGCAAAGAAACACATAAGTCAAGTCCACAAAGGGATTTGTGCTACACATAATAGTGGGCATATGATGACTCGACAAATTCAACGAAGTTGTCACTTTTGGACTACCATGAATAAAGATTGTAACGATTATGTTCGCAAATGTCACGGTGTCAAATTCATGCTGATCGGATAAATGTTGCACCAGCAAGCCTTATCAATAATGTATCACCTTAGCCATTTGCGATGCGAGGTGTGGATGTTATGGACTATTCAATGTATTAGATAAGAAGACTTACTATCTTGATCTACGAAGATCGAAAAGATGTTGTTTTGAGGATTTTTTTTCCTAGTTAGGTAGTTAGTATTAAGATGTCTAGTGATAAAATTTATCTTATTAACCAACTCACAAGGGCTAAAATCCAACTTCCATCTAGATGAAAGTTTCTCGATGTCAAAAAATATTACGGTAATAATCATGATGTTGAGCATTTTTTTTTGGTATGCAAATGGTATTAGTTATACTCTTGATTTAAGACATGTAATAATTCATTTTATGGATAAGTTTTTATTTTTATTTTTTCTATTATCACATCCTAATCAACTTAACAAATGATTATGTGGTTGTGGTTATTTATAGTGAGTGTAGCAGATTGGCTTATTGAAAACAAGATGATAAAAAATGAACTTCTATTCTCATAAATAAAATATGTTTTTCAATTGTCACACTTTATAATGGGAAAAATTCATGCTTTGAGTTGCAATGAATTACTCCAAATAGTTGATATTCATCATCATCCAAAGGCATAAAATATAGCTTTGCCATATCTTAAGGTCAAAGAACCATCCAATCCGCAATAATAATAATAATAAATAAAATGCTAAACTCTCTCATATGATGTATGTAAGTTATAAACTACTATAAATTGAAGAAAAGGATTGGGTTTTTAGATAGGAGTCGATTAGATCAAAGCAAATGGTGTAATGTGAAAACATTACAAGAATTAGGATCAAAGTAAAATAACTAAATTTGGGGTCTTGGGTGTATTTCTAAATTCTAATTGAAAAACTACTATTTGGAGAGGTCTAATTTCACTTTCCGAAAATTTTGAAGGAATTGTGTTACTTTTTATATATTCACAAGAGTGGGGTATCTTGATAAATATTTATACATATTCCGTATTGAGTAGTGGCGTGAATAAATGGCACCTCCTTCCAATGTTTTGGGACTCGAATGGTAATGAGGTCTACCGTGGTCACTATAATATTATTTTTATTTTGGTGGTGCCATTGCCTTCTTCTCTAACCCTCGCTCTACAGTTTATCTATATTAGTTCACACATGCATTCTCTACTTGTTTGAATAACCGAGCCGTTGACAACCGATCAAAATTAGTTCCCTACTAGTTCTTCGGGCCAATTTCCTTTTCTATTTTCATATATATATATATTGGCAAGTACTAAATGAAGTTTCGATTTTACATGTAGTCTTAAGTAATTTACTCATATTACAAATTTACTAGAATAAAATTTCTCACAATCTTCATTTAGATTGAAAAATGAATAGCAACTTTAAGAAAAGAATTCACTAACTATGCAATCACTTGAAAAGTTAAATTATGAGCAACTTTGAAATATTCCAATGGTGAAGAATAAATTGCTTTTTGGATCAATAACTAATAAGCAAATCCAATATGGTTAATTTTTTAATTTATCATGTAAATTAGTAATCATATATATACGTATGAGAGGTTACATCCCTTGGATACATTCTTCCCATATTCGTAGTATTTCATTTTATTTTATTTTTTTCAGCGAAAACAATAATTGAACCATTGACAAAGTATTATTTTCTAGCACAAAAACGGAGCACGTGTCAGGAATTGATTTTGTGCACCAGGTGGAAAGAGAATACAAAGAAAGGTGAGGAGATCACTGTCCCGGCATTGATAATGGTAGGCCATCCAAGTAGGAAATTGTAAGCCTCATGTGCCTATTAGAGTTCATAAAATTTCAGTCACAAGGCTCCAAAGATCATTGTCAGGGTAGTTGGCTTAAATGTTCATCAGCAAATTTATTTATTTTCAAATATCTCATTCATATCACTTCTTCGCTTAATTTAATTTGTAATGTTTTTTTTTTTTTTTTTTTTAATTTGGGTTGGAATTTATCGTTATAACATAGATCCAAATTGAAAATATTAACTCAAAAAGAGGAAGAAGCTATTCCCTTGTATTATTTATTTATTTTTTGGAGTCCTACAAAAGATTTAATCTAAAAGAGAAGACAAAAGATGTTGTAGATAGTGAGATGATTGGAATCAATTAATCTTAATAATGCGTTGAGTTGGTGTAACAAACAAACAAAGTCTCTCAAATAATTTGTGAGTGAGTGCCATTGATCCAAGGCCTAGGCAATTTTCATGTTTTAATGATGATGATAATAATAATAATAATAATTGTCACGTCTTACTCTCTGGTTGCTAGTATCAATTGGTTGATTCTGTCCATTACGAACCCTAATTATTGATGACTGAGGGAGGAATAAGAATCATACAAGGTGGACCCAACGGTCTCTTCCAAGCCTAATAATAATAATAATAATTTAGCAAAAAGGTCATCATGTCCCAACTACCTCCCATGCTTTAATTATTTTCTTAGTGCTAGCTAGTGTCCTAAAAAAAAAAAAATCACCCCATTTGTAGCCACTGGTTTTGCTGATCCCTCACTTTCTGCTTCTCTGCTTGTCCTTCATACTCTTTCCACTCTGGTAAGTGATCTCTCAATGCTCCACATTGTTTGAATCTGTGTTTGTAATCCACATTCTGTAATGCTATTATTTTAGCTCATTATAAATGAACGGAAATTGGAAAGACAGAAGTTGTTTTTAGGCCCAGTCGTTTGAGAAAGGAAAGAGAGGTTATTTTCTCAGCAGTTTAAACGGAAATGTGCTTAAAATTGCTTGTCTGTTAGTGGGTTTTCTTGGTTTTTGTTAATCTATCTCTCAAGTTGCCAAGAAAACAAGATAAAAGAAACAAAAAAGGAGAAGAATTGTTTGAATATTATGTTATGTGTACTTTTGGTTGCCTTTTTTTTTTTTTTTTTTTAAATATTGTTTTTCTTAAGGGAATTGATTTCGAATTGAATGAGATAGAATGCCAAGAGGGAATCCATATGGAAATCTAACTTTGTTTTGTTCCTTGCCCAGTTTTTACACAGATTGCCTTGATTTCTGCACTTGATACAGAACTAATAGGCTAATCTATTCATTGGCCAAGATGACTGTTTCACAACTAAAAGGTTCCCCCTTTTATGGAGTTACTGGTGAAGGATGTGAAAGGAGAGGAATGAAAAAATGGAGTGAAGCTTTTACATTAAAAGACAAAATACAAGTTCCTCGTGATTGTCATTTTGTGGTGAGCAATAAGAGGGGAATGAGATTGAACACTGTCACCAAGTGTGGTGGACCAATCAGTGATCAGCCAACTTCAGAGTATGGCTTGAACCTTTCCAGTGTTGAGGAGAGATTAGCTTCAAACAATGGACGATCTGTAAGCAAGGGAATCTTGTAAGATTTACGACTTCTAATTCACTTTGGCTTCTCAAGTTTGTTTTTATGTATTTGCGATCTGCTGTGTATAGCAATGATCAGTGTTTTAGTACCATACTTCCATTTATTCTTTCAATCTTGGCTGGCTGCATCACATAGGATGTCTCTCTTTGAGGATGTTATGATTGTGATTCTTAATTTTTTCACTTACAAAAAATTCTTGGTTATCTTCAAGTGACTCAACAGGGCCACCAATGAGCAGTCAATCACACACAGCAAGTGTCCAAAATGAACTTCTAATGCTTTCTTTACCAGCAATTGCTGGACAAGCAATTGAACCTTTAGCACAACTGATGGAAACAGCTTATGTCGGTAGATTAGGTAGGTATTTCCTGGTGAATCTGAATTTATGAATGTTATATGAGAAAGCAGGAACAGCTGAATGAGCTCTTAATCTGTTCAAAAAGGGCCGTTGGAGTTGGCATCAGCCGGAGTTTCCATGTCAATTTTCAATATCCTGTCAAAGGTTTTTAATATACCTCTCCTCAGTGTAGCAACTTCATTTGTGGCTGAAGACATCTCAAGGAGTGCTGGCAAGTCTTCTTCAGGTGCATATATATATTTTTAGTAGCATGTGTTACTCAGCTTCTAGCAGACATGCAAGTGTATTGTCTGAGCACAAAATTTGTAGGTTTTTAGTCTAAACTTGAAGTTCTTTGACGTAAAGGTTATGGCTGCCCTGATGATGAAATGGCTGAAAGAAAGTCACTACCTTCTGTCTGTACTGCCTTAGTCTTAGCAGCTGCAATTGGTGTATTTGAGGCCTTGGCAATGTATCTAGGATCTGGAATATTTCTCAACATGATGGGCATACCACCTGTAAGTACTCCTGATACTTCATTTACTATATCAGTTCTTCTTTTCTTTTATTACAGAAATGTATTTTCATGTGATTTTTTAATTTATGGGGTGGACTGTTTTCTGAACCTAATTTTCTGCACAGGCTTCACCAATGCGCATTCCAGCAGAAAGATTTCTCAAACTCAGAGCAATCGGTGCTCCAGCAGTTGTAGTTTATTTGGCCATTCAAGGCATTTTCCGGGGATTTAAGGACACAAAGACTCCTGTCTTATGTCTAGGCAAGTGTTTGGCTGAAATTATTATGAAGTACCAACAATCATTGGGTTGATTTATTTTTAGTTTCTTCAAAAATCAAAGAGCATAAATTAATCACTGTACATCACAGATTCACTTTGATTACATGAAATTGGCATAAAGGCTAAAGCCATATGTGAGAAGGAAGTAGAAGATGCATGTCTAGCCTAGTCCATACAAAAATGGCCATAAGGGGTGTCTAAGAGTATGAAACTAGTCCAACCAAGAATAGCACATTTTGGATTTGAATTGGGTCTTCCTCCTATTAACTTAAGCTTCTACGCCAAATGTTCAAAGAAGAGGTGAAGGCTTCTAAACATAATTCAGTAAATAGATCTCAGAACCATAATGGTGAAAGTATGACCAAAGGTTTATGACTCCAACAGTTGAATGGGAAGTTAGGTCACTTTCCTGCATTCTGCATGTCAACAGTCATATTTCCAAAGAATGTTTACAAATCAAAGAAATCTCTTCTGTTTGGATAAAGTTACCATTGCCTTTTCTTGTCAAGAAATTCACAGTATTGCTTATGCTGGTCCAAAGCTACATGTATCTAAGTTATCCCGTGTCGTTGATCTTGTTTTTTTTTTTTTTTTTCCATTAATTTCAATTGCCAACAATTAACAAACATGATTTAATGAATTTAATAACTAAAAGAGTTCATTCAAGGCCATATGTTTTATCTAGCTAGCATCTTGGAATTCTTTACCTGGTAGTTAATTTACATTAACGATGATCTAAAACTAAATTTGATGAATTTTTAGCCCAATTTACTGTTTGAATATGTGTGCTGCCAAGAGGATTTCCAATTCAGTAAGTGTTATTCTATTAACCTGACCAATTTGGAAAGTTTATTTGCAGGGTTTGGCAATTTTTCAGCTGTATTCCTGTTCCCGTTGCTGATGTATTATTTTGGCTTGGGTGTAACTGGTGCTGCCATTTCTACCGTTATGTCTCAGTATGTTCTTTTCACTGTGCTACATTTTCTTTTACTCCTATTATATTGAGCATCATAAATAATGGTTTTGCTTCAAAAATTTTCAGATACGTTGTTGCCTTTCTTATGATCTGGTATCTTAACAAAAGGACAGTTCTGTCCCTTCCGAGTGTCAAAAGTTTGGATTTTGGCGGCTACCTAAGCTCTGGTGATGCATTTAGTCATGATCAAGTTTTTTTAAATCCATGAATATATTAGTATCTATTGTTGCATGTTACGTTGTGATGGTTTCTTTTTGTCGGAATGTGTCGAAAGATGTACCTAATACTACAGTCACAGAGTAATTGGTGTTTCAGTCACATAAGTTGTTTTAATGTTCTAAATTGATACCTCAGCACTTAGTTTTGATTGATGTTATAAACTATCATATGCAACTACTAATACTAATTTACTAATATTTGATCATATACTCATATTGTGGGTTAATGGAAAAATCTGTTGTCTAAATTAGTGTTTCTGATGCTGAAGTTCAACTTGGGGAATTACTAAATGTTCTTGAAAACTTTAAACTTTAAACTATATGCTTGATTATGTAAATTGTGATGATTATACTGTTCAAAAATGAAGTTCATTTGCCATCAGGAGTCAGTTCTCTAAACAAAGGCATACTAAGTGAATTACAAATTTGAAATTGTATTAACGAAAGGTTCGGAAGAAGTATGCAATGATAGCTTTCAGCTGTCGTGCTTCTGCTTATGTTTCCTGTTCTACTCTAATCTATAGAAGAAAATTGTACAACATGGATTCTCTTTGGCTTAAGATCGCTATAACTCACAATAAGTTTAGCGGCTCTTTCTAGCGAAGATTATAAACAGATGTTGAGGTTTTGCTTGTGAGAAGTACTTTGTAAATTATTATTGAAAACATGCTCATACTGTGTTGAGTTATAACTTAAAGTTTCCTTATGAGTTCTTATTTAAATGTGTTGTAGGTAAGAATGCTAATTTTTATTTCTGTATTTGTTATTTCTGTTGGATACTCCTGTCTTTGCAAATACCACTGACTTAACTGGCCTTCATTAACTTATGTTTCTGTAAGAGATATTCTAAATACTAAACTTTCTTTTTTAGGTGGTTTTCTTCTTGGGAGAACCTTAGCTGCTGTCTTGACCATAACTTTGAGCACATCTATGGCTGCTCGTCAAGGAGCACTAGCCATGGCAGCTCATCAAATATGTTTACAAGTGTGGTTATCAGTTTCACTCCTTGCAGATGCTCAAGCTGCATCTAGTCAGGTAAGGCCAATTAACATTTTACCGTTTTCTAACTATCTGTATTCAAACTCCTCCTAGGCAACAACTTCTTAGTCAATAACCAATTGCAATTGTATTCTATGAGATCAGAGCTTAATAATTTAGCAAGCTACAGACTTTGTGTTTAGGAGGTTCTTGGATTGCCCAGGTGTGAATTATTCTTTGTATAGAATCATGTGAAAGGCTTTAGGATTGGAGTCCTCTTGTAAAGCGTAGGACATGCAGAATTCCTACTATCACAGTTCATTTTATTTTCTCATTTATCTTCAGGATCATATATCTTCCAAATTTTTCAATGATCAAAAAAACCATATTATTTGCAGGCCCTTATTGCAAGTTCTTCTGCAAAAGGTGACTACAGCACTGTGAAAGAAATTACTTTCTCTGCTTTAAAGGTGACTGTTCTTGTATGTGGCTGTGGTTTGTAGGATATTCATTTTGTTTCTTACTGGTTCTTCTTTGGGCTTCATGATAATCAATAACATGTCATATGGTTTTACCAGACAGGATTAATCACCGGCATTTCCTTAGCTGTCATATTGGGTGTATCATTTAGTTCTATAGCGACTATGTTCACTAACGATGTGGAGGTACTAGCTATAGTCAGATCTGGCTTACTGGTATGCATCCATGTTTACTCTAGTTTCATAGTTTCAATTCTTCAGTTTGTTCGATTTGGCAGTCACCAACTTCTTTCTGCTTGTTTTAATTAATTTACTTCATCCAATCCTGTCTTAATGTACTACAGTTTGTGAGTGCTAGTCAACCTATTAATGCGCTTGCTTATATATTTGATGGTCTCCACTACGGCATATCTGATTTTTCATATGCTGCTTGGTCTATGGTAAGTTGTGATCTCATGACATATTGCACTCGCCTAAGGTTTCAGTTGTGATTTTCTAACCTATTGTTTTTCATGTTAAATATGTCCTAATATTTGTAAAATAATAATAATAATAATAATAGATGGTGGTTGGGGCAATATCTTCTGCATTTATTCTTTACGCACCCTCAATTGTTGGTCTCTCTGGAGTATGGTCTGGATTAACTCTTTTCATGGGCTTGCGGACTGTCGCTGGATACATGAGGTATGAACTGCATGACATTAACTTCCAATAGTGTTTCAGGAACTTGTCAATTAAGATTAATCCTCTTCTTTGCATGAACTAGTATTTGGATTTCATACCTGTCAATATAGCTCATGCCAGTCAATATAGCTTTCTTCTGTGGCATTACTTATATAAGGGTCTTCTTTTCAAATTTACTTGGCGAAACTGTATTTGCTGCTGAATTTTTTGTCATCTGATTTCATGTTTGATTATTCCAGCTATACTATCAGCAATTTATTATGTTGATAAATGTTCTTGCTATTAATCCCAACCGCTCTTACATTTTGTGCTAGATTGATTTCGAAAAATGGGCCTTGGTGGTTCCTGCAGGAGGACATCACTAAGAATTGGAGATTGGTTGATGTAAGTCAAGATCTCTTCTAGCCTACATCTGTTGATCATCTCTTATCGTATGTTCATACTGTGTACACAAAAGAAGTTTTTCATGAAAATTTATTGCTTCTTTGTACCTCTCATATGATTCATATTGCAACTTCCCTCAGGACATTTACAATTAACAACGAGATGTGGAAGTTGGATTGTTGGAAGGAAAGAGAAGAGGAGTTATATTTTGGCAAAAGGTGGATTGCATTTTTTATTATTATAATTATAATTATTTTATTTTTATGGTAGTAATTGTTAGCACCTAATTTTTGCTCCCTTTTATTTATTCATTTATTTATTATTATTATGAAAATACCAAAAGGTAACAAAAGAAAAAGGAAAAAAAAAGAATTAGGATAGTTAGCTTAGAAAAGTGGGTTTAATTGAAAAAAAAATAGAAAGTTGGAAATAATTAAAGGAAAAATGAGGGCATAATTGAAAAAGGCAAAGCTTCAAATCCTTTAATTAAAATGAGGAGGGGTACAATTGAAACGAATTGAAATAAAAAGGCTCAATTGTTGACAATGGGAGGCTTAAATTAAATAAATAAAAAACGAAAAAACCTAAATAAATTCATGGAAGAAAACCAAGGACCAAAGTGGATTTTTTGCAAAAAAAAACCTAAAAGACATGCATTTGTTGGTATAAAACACTATTCATCATCACCTAAAAAAAGGAAAAGAACCTTACCAGCCTCTTTTGCCAACCGGTCTCTCGTCGCTTACAAACTCTCTCACCTCTACCTCCTTTGTCGGCCTCCATGCTCTTATAGCCAACCATGCCTACTCTGCTCTCTCTCTCTCCCGTAAGCTTTGCTTCTTCCATTGCCGACCACCAAGTAGGGGTGAGCAAATGGTTCGGTTAACCGAAAACCGAATCAAACCGAACCGAATTATGTATTTTGGTTCGGTTTTAAACTTAAATTTACAAAATTAAAAACCGAATCGAAAAACCGAAATTATTTCGGTTCGGTTCGGTTTTGAAAAAAAATTCGGTTTTCATCGAAAACCGAAAAAATTAAAAGCAAAAAAAAAAAAAAAAAAAATTTAACCCTAATTGGCCAACTTCACTAAATCAAAATCAATTTTTAGCGGCGCCTCCCTAGCTCCCTATCCTTCGCTCCATCTTCTCCGATTCTCCTTCATCATCACTTCATCGAGTCGGAGGAGGCATTCATGAATTCTAAGATTCTTAATTTGGTCAACTATCAATTGAAAAAATTAAATAAAGTTGATGACTAACTCGCAATCAATTGTCTTTTACAAGTTTAGTTGTTTCTTTGCAAGACAATCAAATGAAATTAACTTACTATTGCAAGATGGTTTTAGGTCTCGTGAGCTTGAATTTTACAAGCCGAAAAAAAGTCTGTTTTAATTTTTTTTCTACTTGCACAAAATTGCTAATGAAAATCTTTTAGACTACATTTTTTAGTGGGAATGATGATTGTAAAATTATTAGGGATGTTATACATATTGGTAACCTTTACCTTGCTTTATATATCTTGTTATGATAGTGATTGATGTTGGAAAATTATAATCTTCAACGGTGACTAATTCGGTCTAAAATTTTGTTTCCTGCGGTTCATTCCCAATGGCTTTTTAGCAAGATAAGCAAGGAGATCATAGGGGTCAAACTAAGAATTAGGATGTTGTCGGTGCTTGATGAGTTCGGAATAAGCAAAAGAAGGAAGACAACTACATTTTTTTTCTTCTCTCATTTAGGACATTCGGTGTGTCAAGCTGTGATTAGGTAGGCTGCAAAAGATATTTCCTATGTAAGAGCTTTGTTTTCTTATTGTGATTAGGTAGGCTGCAAAAGATATTTCCTATGTAAGGGCTTTGTTTTCTTATTGTCTTTTTTTTTTTTTTAATAATAAATGGTGAAAATGATGGTGGCTTAGGACAAATAATGAAACAATGGTCTAGAATTTTTTTTTTAGTAAAACATTTCGGTTAAAACCGAAATATTTTGAAACCGAACCGAAATAATTTGGTTACAAACTGAATTTACCGAATTTATTTTGGTTCGGTTTTGGTTTTTATTTTCCTTGATTCGGTTAACCGAAAACCGAACCAAATCGTACAAAATCGAGCCGTTTAACCGTTTGCTCACCCCTACCACCAAGTCCCTCTCACTTGACTCTCTTGCTCAACCGACCAACGCCTCTAGCCCTCCCTTGCACTTTCTCTCTCCTCTCGCTTAAGTCAAGCATATAGCCTCCATAAGCTACCGACCACACACCATTTTACCAATCTCACGTCATAGTCCACATATGCATGCCCCACGTCTATTACTCCCTCACACTAGGCCTCCTTGCACGCCTAAGCCATAGGCCCTCGCCCAAGCTTGCCTAAACCTCCTCGCCTCACCATTTTTCCCCTTGCCCACACTCGTCATAGCGGCCTTCTTTTAGACCCGAAAGACACCTCGAACACAATCCCCATTCCGGACCTCTAACACGTGAAAATAGCCCCTCTTCCTTACACCTAAAGCATAACGCAAAACGATCACTGTTGCCTTGAAACACGGCAACACACCAACCCTCACGCGAGACCCTTTTTCATGTTATAAAAAGCCCCTCTCGAGCCCCCACATCCATATTTGAAATGCACCATCACGGCCCCTCTAAACTCACTGCGAAGCACTCGTCAAAAAGGAATCGAAGTAAAAAAAAAAAAAAAACCTTTTGATGTGGTTTTGTTCTTTGTTTTGTTTGATTTGTTTTGATAGGAAACATATTTCGGAGTAGATTTCGGTTGTTATAATAACCACATCACAAGTTATTGACAAATAGTCACTTTTCTTTTCTTGCTAATCGAATATTCGATTATCATCGGGAACGAAGAGTAAGAATAACTCAAAATCGGACATTGGAATCATAGGATCTTTGGGTAAAAATTCTAAAACTAATTACTTTCAAAACATAATTTGTATTTGTTTTTGATGGGTGATGGATTGATTGTGGTTTGTAATGTAGATTTAAAGTCGTCGATGGTGTTTGAAATTATCTTGTTTGTTTTTGTATTTGTTTTTTTTTGTTTTTTTGTTTTTATATTTTTTGTTTTCCTTATTTTTGTGAGCCTTGAAATATTTTTTTTTGTTTGATTATTTGCATGTTTGAAACAAAGCCAGTCGGAGAGATTCGAAATATTTTTTTTTGTTTAATTATTTGCATGTGTGAAAATAAGCCATCGGTAGCTTCTCACTTATGTGACGAAGTCATCGGAAGGCTTCGAAATATTTTTATTTATTTGTTTGTATGTTTGAAAATAAGCCACTTAGTAGCTTCCCACTTATGTGACGAAGCCACTAGTGACTTGTTCAAAACAGTTATTTGCTCTTTGCTTGAGTGACTTGAAGTTCGTTGGTAACTTTCCACCTCCGTGACTAAGTTGTTAGTAGCTTCTTACATCCATGATACGATTCGTTGACGGCTTTCAACTTGTGTGAGTGAATTTGTCGGTGACTCGTAGCTCATGCCAATAAAAGGCTATTTATTTTTAAAAAATCACCTATTTTTCGATAATAGGTCGTGTTCACTAATGATTAGTCGAAATTTTAATTTTTCTATCTTTTTCCTATTTTGGTAGGATGTATTGGCCTTAGATCGGCTCGAATGCTCGAATTATCTCGTTTCACACTTGAATTATCTCGTTCCATAATTTTATCAAATAAATTCACATGAATAGGCATAGAGGTATAACGAAATAAAGAACTAGGTTTTTTACATTCATAGAGGAACAAAGCGACCTACATTAGGTAGGACGAGATGGTGGTGACGTCATGTCTTCCTTATATGTAACCGATCCTTTATCTAAATATCCATATAGATTAGTATATTTAGGGTTTTTCTAGTTCTCCTAATTAGTTAGGTGACGACTCCCTTATCTTGACCCTTTTTCCCACTTGTGTTGGGTGACGTCGATAGAATTGGCGACCGCACTAAGGACCTTAGTGTCGAGTTAGGGTCAAGCTTTGAATGTCTATGTTGTGAATCTTTGATCGTTTATTATGTCTTTATGCTTATTTGTTGTGAGTGAATGATTGTCATTTAGTCATTTAATTTTTTATGTTGTGATAACATGTTTGCATCTATGTGTGGTCGTTCACATTTTCTCATCCCTATAATTTGGTTTGGTTTAATTTCTTTCCCTTTATTTTTTTAGACTGGATATGGAGTCATGCACTCACACATTACACTGCATAATTATAACTCGTCATTTGCATTTGCCTCGAGCATTTATGGAGTTAGTAGTGGTGTCTTGATGGGTTTCACTCCGGGTAAATACTTATGAAACCTCGAAGCCTTTTTGTTAGCTACCATCGATGATAGGTAATCGATGATTTTTAATGATTGCTAATATCGCCATATATAGTCCTAGTGACTATTAAAGACTCACTAGGCTAGAAGGTACCTTTTTAAAACCTAGATAGAGCCCACCCGACCATGTAATGGTTAGAGCCGAATTTTAGGACCATCTTCCCCTTGTTTAACACACTAGGTAATTCGGACATGTTGGAAATCTTGACTAAAATATTTTGGTCACAATGTTTCGGGATGGGTGATAAAAGAGCTCAAATACATTTTAGGCCAACATTGGTTTTTCAAACAAAATTCGAAACCTT